AAAATGATTGACTAAATGATAGATTGTATTTGCTGACAAGGTCATTGTATCGACCATAGAACTTACAAAAGGATGACTTTAAACGAGACTGTTGATATTCGTCCTTCTTCAACTTGTTTTCAATAACTTAACTCGTTTTGAAATTGTTCATACATAGAACATGCTCTTCCGTATCGAATCAACTGAGAGATATAAACTCCGTATGCAGGTGACAAGGGTATATTGTTGCATAAGTAAGGAAAGTTGACGATTGAAAAGTTAGTCATCACGTTTATCATAAATGTTCCCATTCAATATATGAAATGTTAAAAAAAATCAAAATATAACTTGTTTTATGCTTTTTAACTTCGATCTGAAGTAAACCTCAAACAAAAACATGCTTGTTTGACTACTATGTGCAGTTTTTATCATTCTAATTTACTATAAATGTTTTTTTCCGGCCTTGAGAAAAATGTCTTTAATTTTTTTCCCAATTCAAAGGGAAGGGTGGTAGTTTAATAAAATAAACATTACAGGACATCTCTATATGAGTGAAAAAGTTCCGAATGTAAAACAACATACAATCAATCGTCATCTTCTACACCAGCACATGTAGGAAGTCTTCAGACTGAACAGCTGCTAAATGGCGCGTCACATCCAATCATCTTCTGCATGAGCTTTGGTAATCTACATTTGTAAATGCAAGGCACATCCACAATAGTTACTTTCTTGCGGTTTAGCTTTGCCTTGGTCTCTATTCTAGGGAGTGTATTGAAGTACTCTTTTTCTAGACAATGCACCAAATGAGGTCGTAAATATAATTTATCGAACTTCCCGATAATAACTGTAGCAAAACTGTATGGCAAACAAAAACAGTCAACACTATTAATATGCGGTTGAAACTGCGGACGTTGATATGATAGAAATCGCTGCCTTACATGCTTGCAGCTGACTCTGTAGTGATGGCGTGACATTACTATTTGACATTTAATCAAGAACATAAATCTGTCCCTCTAACTTCACAGATGACACCGAGAGATATGAAGGTCACATAGAGTGGGCAGATACTATCCTAACCGGAAAACCAGAAACATTATTGTACATTTTATTAGCGATAGAGTCAGAGTTTATTGAAACAAAAGAAATTTTAAAATCCTACAACCAAAATCCGACAATAAAAACGGTCCAATCTACATAATGAAGCTCTGACGTCCAGACGGGGAGAACTAAAATGAGAAAAATTAGAACAGCTGCCGGGCGTACGATGGACGCATTTATGCCGGACACTGTGGAACACGAGGGAAGAAAATAATAATCAACACATGAGAGAACCTCGAGAGTTTTTAGGATGACAACGAAGACGAACAAATCTTTGCTTCGACGCCAATATCATAAACAAGATCGTAATATTGTGTTTACAAACGTCTCCACATGTTTGCGTCTCTCAGACATTGGAACGTCGTCCAATCAGCGTTTACGTACTTTCGTTTTCATTTGTCAGATCAGCGTTACGGATGTCTCAAGCATACGTACAGTAACTTTATGTTCAAATTTATTTGTATATTAATATGTTTGTTACACTGTCCTCAAACTGATCTACAGATGTATATTTGGATGTTATTCGTGCTGAATAATCGGAAAAATTTCATAATCGATAATCAATCAAGATTGGAGAAGCTTATTCGATCAATGATCGATTTAATTGGTAATTCAAAAATTTAAATACAAAATTCAATTTCTTTCTAGCTTTTATTATTTATGGAACAAACCAATAATAAAATTATATCAAGTTTATTCTGAAGTCAACTTTTTGTTGTATAAATAATAAAGCAATAGAGAAAAACATGTTTGAATAGATCAAAAGTTCAACACATTGAACAAGTAACACTGCAACAGATAGTAAAGCAAGCGAATAATCTACCAATACTTGATGGTTTTGTTTAAAAAAAATTAGCAGATCCACATTGCTGTGGCTAAGTCTGCATCTTTTGTTAGAAACAATTTGTCCCCCACGGCTGAAGACCCTCTCGGACGACACAGAGGAAGAGGGAATAGCCAGTAGAGAGTCTTGGAAAAAAGAGCATTCTTTTTCACCACTCTAAGACCGTTAAATTTTGATCCATTTCTTCAATCTGACAGCCTAAATATCTTTATATTTCATGTTCTGCGACACTTCCTACATCCACACTCTCTCCAATACATACAACGTCCTCCAACCAGTCATCATTTAATTTTTTTTTCCGTTCTGTTCGACTCGTTCTCAGTAATTTGGAAGTGGTGGAACATCAGTATCTTTCTCTGCTCCTTCAGGTTCCTCTGTGTTGTTTTTCTCTTTTTTCAGGTACAAAGTCCAATCCTTTTGTAAAAAGATTCAGCAAACAACCCACGAGAGAAATAACCTCTGACTTTGTTCTTTTAGTCATTTCTGCTTGCATCTTTTGTTTAATTTTTTTTGAATCCTCATCCGATATCTCAGTTACCTGAAAGTTTTGTAACAATTGGAAGGACTTTGTGCATGGTGAGATGTTGATCTGCACAAACTATTGTGGTAGTTTTTTCAAACGATACAAAAATGTTTACCAAATTTTCAACTATGGTCAATTCATCAAAATTGAAAACAGAGCTCTTGAGAGTTGCGTTGGCGTGTTTAGGCAAGGGTGGATCATTAGCCAAGGCCATAAGAACTGGTGCTTATTTAAGGAGACGCTGTAGCATATACAGGGTAGAATTCCACCTTGTTTCCACATCAATCGAAAGCATGTGACCCACTTTACTGTCGCTGAGGAGTAGCTTCTGTTCATCATGCAGCATAGATGTCATGCTACTGGATTTATGAAAAAAAAACTACCAGTGTTCTAGCCGTCCATAATACTCTGCTAATCTCAGGAAATAAAAGAGAATTTTTCACAACCAGATTTATCCTGTGGCCATAGCATCCAAATCTATTCCAACCCAACAATTCGTAACCGTTTTGTTCATTCGCAGCGTTGTCTGACGTTGCTGTTGGTACTGGAAGGGACCAACTATCATGAGTATTTTAAGTTTGTTTGCTATATTTTGCGAAGTGTGACTCCCTGCACAAGTTTTACTGTTCCGAAAACAACACTTTGTAGGCACCAGTCATTTTCAATTAAATGTCAAGTCGTTGTAATAAGATTCTGTATTTAAGCTTGCCCAGCCATCATGTGTTATGGAAATGTCTGAGGAAAGCTTCAAACGGCTTTTTAGTTTGTCTTGACATAACTGCTTAAAAGTCTTACTTACATGCATCTATTATCTCAAACTTTACTTATATTCTATTTTTATAGTATTTTATAGTTCTATTTGAAATGAATTTATTTATTTAAAAAATAGGTTTTATTTCTTAAAATATTTATTAAAAAATGTGCAATCTTTTTCTTACTTTTTCCTATCTTATAACCTATTTATGAAAAATATTTAACAATCAAGACTGTGATATAACTCTAAAATTCTAATATTTTTATATTTTCTCATACCTAGGGTCTAAGAGTTCCACAAAGCCCTGAAGTAGATATAATCAATGATGCTCACTGGTAAAACCTTGCCAATGATCGACTTATTCAATACATCATCAATTGTTGACTGCCTTTGTGGACTTATTTTTCCGACAGGTTTGTTAGATTTGACAAAGCTATCAAGACGAGATCTAGACTTGATGTCCACCAAGACAAAATCATCGATTTGAAATTGCTTGGTGATATTTGTCTGTCCACAGGCCTTTCCTATAATGACCTAAAATGATATATTTAAAAATACAGGCTTGTAATGAAGTTTTGTTTTTAAATGTCTAATGAAATATGTATATATTGCTGATATTTATTTACCTGATGTATTGGGGCATCTTCATCTTCGTTAAAATAAAAAAACGCTCGAGTCATCTTGGAAATTTGGTTCTGAAATTAAAATATATATATATATATATTTGAAAAAAAAAAATAGTCCAAGCTTATAATTATTATACATACCTGCTTTAGAGCCCAGGATTTCCTGAAGGAACCACACTGTGTCATTTGCTAGAAAAGAACAGAGTAGCTATGTAAACACCATTTAAAAATTAATAATATTAATAATAATTTTTACAGGCTACTAAATATTGTGCCTGTAAACATTTACTATAGGAAAATAAATACCGTTTTCGTCATAATTTTCAAAGAAAAACTACCATCACTTTTTAACTTCGTCTTTTGCGAAAAACCTGATATCCCCCTCCTACCTATCCATGTTGTTAGCAATCTTGGAATTTAAGTCCCCTTGAACAATATCTGGTGTGTTCTTGACCTTAGTTTTAAGAAATTACTCGCCAGTATCATTCAAAGTCTGAAAAATTCAGATACGTTTTAGTGCTTGGATATGATCTGTATATATATCCTTATGTTATACTTTGAGTTTTGTTTGTGTGTTTAAAAGAGAATTGATAGAAAAACCTCGAAATTGTTGTCAAATGCGAATATCAAAGTTATTAACAGGGAACATCTCTGAATCACAATCAATAAATACTTTCTAAAATAAACTTCATCTCTAATTTTACGATGCGTACTTTATCTTAGTCCACTCTTTCCAATAAAGGTTTGCCCTGCCATGTTCATCGTTGATTACTTTGAAGACGTGTGGCTTGGATTGTCACCGGATAGTTTAATTGTATATCAACCTATTACAAAGTCCACAATAGGCAGAAGATATTTTAAACTGAGAGAGCATTGTTATATACTTCATCACATGATCAAGTTTGAGCCAATTAGAGATGGTACATTAGCTTTTGAAGTTTATCAAGTCCAGACATACTGGTTAAAATAAGCTATTTGGTACACATCTAACATCTCTTACTCATTCTTTTCCGACTTCTATTCTCACAATGTTAATTGAGGTTTTTCCCATAACTTTGGAGGAATACTATAGAAATAAACCTTAAATAGATTGTACTCGGCCACTGTCATGCCCTTGGTTTTTCCTGTTATTAAAACTTGGTCGAACTCTTTCCCTGGCAGATTTATTTCCAATAACATAGGTTCAGAATCCCTTATCTCCTGCGTCACTAATGAGATGCAGATGCCTTGGGTTATGCCCTTATCTCTGATGCCCGTATGATGCGGACAAACATTATCTTGTACGATCATAACAATGGCGAGTACTAGTAAGTTTCAGGCAATCAAATTAACAGAAGATGATGTTCCTGGTGCAAAATTGATTTATCCAGAGGTTGAAAATCACTCTGTTGTACAATTAAGAAGATCGCTACTTTGCAGAGGAGTTAAAACATCTGGAAATAAGTGTGATCTAGTGCAGAGGTAACATAAACTTTCTTTGTTTACATTATCAAGATATTTTCTGCTTGTATTCACTTCTTAAAAATCCTTTTCATTAGCTTTTATATAGTTGTGTTTTTTTAAATCAATGAATATGAATGATTTTATTTCATATCTTAAAAATGAACACACTAGCTTCTAGTACATGATTATTATACATGCATGACTAACTGAGTTTTAAACCAGATTTTCATTACTTTGCAGAGTAAAAGACTGCATTTCATCTGGAAACACGGACATACGTGTTAGTGTTGATGCTGGAAAATGGATGGACATGAAGGCATCAGATCTTAAAGCATCAACTTCAGATGATGCATCATCAAGCAACCCAAAAATTCCCCTAGTTTGTTGGAAAATTTTCCCATCTACAAACTTGCCACAATATTTCAATGAAGGTCATATTCATCATTATATAATTGAAAGTGTGCAGTAAGTAGACCAGCCTGGAAATGATTCTGGAGATGAAATTGATGACCTACATACATCAAAACCCTTAAAAAAAGGAAAACAATATTTCAAGAGTGGGCATGTCTGCAACTTGAAGGACTTTAAGTCAGGGAATGTTTATTTCCTGAAGGCCTCTGTAATGGCATCGTACAGAATTAAGACATCCCACAATGTCACAGTTGCAATGTCTGCAGAAACTGGTTTTGTGCAGGATGCTTCATGCACATGCATGGCTTCATCAATGGGAAGGTGTAGTCATGTTGCAGCTGTGCTATTTGCCCTTCTGGACTATTGTCAACAATATGGCCATGAACCTGCTGCATGTACCTCAAAAAGTGTGAGTGGAATGTTGGTAGGAAGAAAAGAAAAAATCCACAAAAATTTACAGAATCTAAGTATTCCGGAATTAAACAGAAGAAGATTGATGAACTGATCTCATATGACCCCCGACCACCAACATATCAGACTGATGACAATCCCGATGTTGAAGAAAACACATTTTGGCAGGAACTACAGTATCAAAACTGTTTCAGTAGTATGTGGGCCACACTTTCGAAATATAATTATGAAGATTATGACATAGATGACGAGCATGCAGAAGAGCTGAGGAATAAACGCAAGTTGCTTTTGGAAAATCTTTCGCTGTCCTTAGACACAGATACCACGGAAATTATATCTTCTCAGCGGTGTGATGAGTGGAACTGTCATCGACGTGTCCGAATTACAGCTTCAAAATCAAAGACAGTGGCTACACTTAAGGAGGAGAAGGACCTTGAGCTGAAAAAATACTTGTCATTCAATTTTTTTCATATTTTGTGTATTTCTAATTAAGTATGTCCCACATATCTTAAAGCAGTTATATCATTAGGTTTCTTACCTTATTTTGGAGATATTGATTGACAAATACTATGCCCTACAGTATCTAAGTGGTGTTTTAATTCTCCATGTTTCCGGGCTTATTACTCTGTCCATAATGGGATTTTTTAAGCATACACAAAAAATATCAAAGTGGACATGTATCTTTTAAAATATTTCAGAGTATAACTAGGATTTAAAATTCGAAAAAGGAAGTTTTGTGTATCACACTGCATCTGGATAGGGAAAATTACACACTTTTTAAGACAACTTAAACAATAAAAAACGTAATTTACAAAAAATTCTATCATTCAATATTTTTTAATTTACGTTGAAATGCAAATCCTTCAAATTATTGATTAACTGTAAAAATTTCGAATGGTGAAGCTGACTTCAATATTGCACAAGACATCGTTAAAGAGGACATAAGCATGACAAAAACGTGTCATGTTACATTTCTCGAGTACGGGAAAAACCAACTATGACGTCACTTGTAAGCTAAATAAGCGAAATAAGATATACCTACATAAGATTTCCGTCATCAGCCATGCAAAAATATTTTTGTGTTCCCCGTTTCTCAAAATATTTCATCATATACTGATTATGACCTGTTTTACATAATAATACCGCCCCTGTGTTCACTGAGTATGATCTTGCTGTACTAACAGATCGTGTATGACGTCACCGACTTGGTGGACGCGCAGTTTAGGGAAACAGAGGAGTGGATCAATCTTTTTCATAATTTGTTGATGTTTACAAGAATGTTAAAACTTTTTAATTTTTTTTATATAAGATGGTAATTAAAGTTAAAAAATTGTCAAATTATTATACAAGAACTCATGCTTTACACATTTTACACTTATATAAACGGAGACTATGACGTAGTTAAACAGAGTCATGTGACCATGTGTCCTTCATCCCCTTAAATCCGACTCAGCCATCACACATACTTTGTCAAACATTATGTATCCATCAACTTCATATCAAACTAGAGCAATGCTTTATGGGATTGAAAAGGAATCACTTGCTTTTTCACATTATACTAGTTCAAAGAAAGATGCTACTCCTTCATTTGAAACCTGTACGACAGGATTCTGGGTATCTCCAAAGAATCCAGCACTAGGATGTAGTCCAGATGGATTGGTAACCGATCCTAGTGAGCAGAATGGAGACATTCATGGTCTAGTGGAAATAAAATGTCCATATATCCTTAAAGATACAGAAATTGAAACTTCTGATTCATTTTTGTCTGGTTCACAGAAATCAATTTTTTTTCTCGTGAAAAGGAAAAGTGGAACCATTGCTCTAAAGCGAAACCATGACTATTATTTTCAAGTTCAAATGCAGTTAGGAATAATGGGTCGTAATTGGTGTGATTTTTATGTCTGGTCTTCCAAAGGATCTTTCTGTGAAAGAATCAGGTTTGACAAAACATTTTGGGAAAGTTTAGCTCAAAAACTTGTTAAATTTCATCATACTAGACTCTGTCCTGAGTATTTTGAGTTTAGAATTCCAAGGAGACTAGAACCAATTGATATATCAGAGTAAAATGACATAATTGTGGTTTAAAGAATAAAGTTTTATGCGTCCTCAGATATATGTTTTTTTTCTTTCTTACTAGAACATACCCTGCTTTCATATCCAATCAGCAGTCACTAAAGATTCTATGAATTTACTTGTTAAAACCACTTTTCTGTGTAAATACAGTCATGCGAGATGCTTTGAGAAAGAAAAACAAAGGAATAAAAATATTTGATTAGCGCAAAACTTTTGATCAGCCAAAGTAAAACAGGTTATGTTCTAAGTATGTTAGATCACGGAAAGTAAAATTTTAGTAAATGAGAAGGGTTTTGATGGCTTAACTCTGTTTATCTCCTCAAAATCACTAAAGTTTTATTTAATGTGATTTAACTATTATTTAAATAGAAATCCCTAAATACATATATAATCTCATTAACTTCAGATACATTTATTTAACTATTGGATCTTGAAAATTAACCAAACAACCTACAACAAATATTAATTGAGAAAATACTGGCTCTTTGGTGCAAACTTGCGCAAGTGAGATCTACTTCGAAACATTTTTGATCTGAGAGGAAGAAATCTTTTATACAGAAACTGAACCCATGTGAGAATTATTCTAGAAACCATAGAGGTGCTAACATTAAATCTGTATGATAGATCTTCAACAAGAAATCCATGTCTTAACCTCATGTCATGAAAGTTTATATTTTGGTTCAAGTTTGTGCTTTGGACCAGGTCTCTTGATTGGTGATCTGTCTGGATATTCACAATCACAATAATGACAATTTGTGAGACTAAAAAAATCAAGTATTTAACAAAAAATGTTTTAATTATGGTAGATAGTCCCTACAAATCTAAGAATAATGCAGGAACCTTATTAGAAATGTTGCATCAAGATTACACAAGTTTTTTGTTTCTCTTTTTATAAATCTTTGTAACAAATTTAAAAAAAATGTTTTCAAATTTAATTTCAGAATGACATAAATATGCATTTTTATTGCACTACAAAGCAGATAGTATGGATAGATCCCTTGGGAGTAACGAGTGGACATGCATCCATGCAGTTAAAGATTAATTAATGAGTTCAGTGTAAGGAGGCTAGCTGTCTCAATCATTTCTATTAGAGGATCTCTGATCAAGCAGCTCGTATCTGTATCCTTTGGGAAATAGACAGAAGAACTGCTTGTCACTTTATAGCATATGTCATTTGATGGCCAGCCTTTAATTTTTAAAATTATTTGATATAGATTAAGTTAAGACTAAATTGATATTGTTTAATATATTTTTATTTAATTTTTTTGAAAAATATCAACTAATTCAGAACATCATGTCTCACAAATCTGAAAGCTGGGGGGGGGGGGGGGTGCAGATGGACATTTGTCAAGCTCTAACACAACCAGTTGATTTATAATGTAATATTTGCTATAATTAATGCCTACACCACAGGAGATGTATAAATAAATATTAAAAGGAATGAAAAAATTCTTGAATCCTTGTATCAAGGTTGACATGATTTTCTTGCACTTTAAACTGTTTATGACAATTGAACAATACATTTGACGGGCGTATCATGCTGTGGCGGGGCACTTTATTTATGATAGAACACCTATTTGCGATATCTGTGACGCCGGATTCGTTTATTCATTCAAAACTGCGTTTGAACCCGGTTGACCTCTTAAAAAGTCTGAAACTTTTTTTTTCCGGATAAAGTGGATCAAATGTTCCAGTGTTAAATAGTTATCCGGAGGAATAGTTTTAGATTTTTTTTTTCTTAACAAGGACATATACTACAATAATCATGGATTAACATTACTTTGTTATTAACTTTTACTAAATAGTTATTGGTTTTACTGTTATATTTTATATTTTACTCACGATTTTGTGTTCAGTGTGATCAAATAAACGGCAAAACAGCTAAAATATTGACAATAATATGAATTATGATTTGACTTGTGTGGAATGACCTTGAAATAACTTGATTCCCCATTTTGTGCTTCCTTTTGTTAATACAGATTACCTTGCATCCTGAAAATTCTTCATTTCATCTTCAGAGGCAGATGTGAATCTATTTGCTGGTGGGGGTGTATGAACAGGCACATGAAGACATGACAGACCCCGAAACTTTCAGATCTTGCTCCATTTCATTCTCCCCAACACTCAGAGGTGCCAAAAAGGAAAGATCTAGTGATGCAAATATGTCATCGTCTAGCAGAAGGTACAATTCTGCATCAACCACATCAAAATTGCCAAATTCAGTATTGTTTACATTAGAGTGACCTGGGGTCAGTATACCAGACGGAAATTTAGACATACTTTAAGACATCGTTTTGCAAAAATGTTTTGTTATTGATGAAGTCCACTGCTTAGAATACACATAAAATCATAAATACAATTTGTGACGTTGGTTATATCTATTTTTAGGTCACCTGAGTCACTCAGGTGACCTATTGCTATCCGTTTTCGTCCGTCGTCGTGCGACGTGCGTTAACATTTGAACATTTTAAGCTTCTTCTCTGAAACCGCTTAACCAATTTCAACCAAATTTGGTATATAGCATCTATGGGTGAAGGGGAACAAAAATTGTGAATTTCATGGTCCCTGCCCCCCCCCCCCGGGGTCTGAGGGTGGG